ATATATATGATGTCGATGTGAATGTGGATGTGGATATTGATGTGTACATACATACATACATACATACATACATAGATTGTTATATATATATATATATAAATGTGTGTGTATGTATATTTTTATGTATATGTATGTGTATATATATATATAAATTACCTATTTTATTTTTCCTAGGACAAAAGCCATACCGTCGTATACCTATTATACTTTTCCTTTGACAAAAGCCATTTCACCGACTGAATACAGCTGCCTCTGTACGCAGCACTTTCGTCAAACGCCCATTCTATTGAGCCCACCAACCAATTGATCCTGGAATAAACTTCGTGTTCACTTATTGTGATTGTGGGAATGGTATCAGCTTAGGAGCGACAGGCCAACATGACCACTTTTGTCGCATTCATTCACACAGATACACATTCACATACAGGGGAAGTTGTCTGTGTCTATCCCCAAGGAACAGTGTGCTGTGATTTTGATGCATGTCTCTAATTATATCTCAATATATATTCAGACCGTGTGTATACGTTTAACTTGCCTACCTTTGTAGATTGTAGCCCCGGAGGTGATATCGGCTGACAAACAGTTCACAGACTATGTGCGACAAGCCAACATTGCACTAGGCGAGCAGCAGATTGGAGCACTCAACACTCTGATGATGTACTGCGAAGACGATGGGCTGCAACCACTCGATCAGCACGATATCATGCGCAGGTAGCTTATATATTTATGTATATGTATGTATATATATATATATATATATATATATGTGTGTGTGTGTGTGTGTGTGTGTGTGTTTGTGGATATATTTTTGTACCAGTGTATTTTCGTACCGTATGACGATGCACTTCGTAGTCTATGGGCTGGAACCAGTAGGCCAATTTGAGACTATGTACAGAGCGGTTTAAAGTTCAGCAGTAGACAACCATGATATGGTATGATGCAAAGATAAGACCCTCTGATGTTACTATACTTGTTGAATATATTCGCCTCTACATATGCAATTTTTACATTTTGTATGATTCATATTTTGTTCATTAATATATGAAGAAGTCTAAACACACGTACGCGATAGTATTTCTTAAATACAGCCATGTATTGCCCTGGTACTTGTTCAACATAGGTGTCTGAAAGAATGGAACGTAGACGTGGAGTATGAACGCAGACTAAAGTCCATGAAGCGGCGGAACTCCAACTACGATAACATGTATGGAGGTCATTCGGGGGCTAAACGCCTAAAAAGTGGGCTTCCTTCCGGGCCTAATGGGCATGGGGGTATGGTGGGACACCATGGTAGTATTGGTATTGGGAGTGGCAGTGAAGTGCCGGAGCGAGAAACTGCGAGGGTAGAGTACTCTATGCCTGATCTCACTCAGCCTAGCAAACATCAAACCATCGAAGGTCAGTGGTTGTGTATCATTTAAGTACATATATATGTCTCTAACGTTGAGGATAAGCAGTTATCAACTTAACTCGTGACTCAGCCTCCAATTCGTACCAATCCCTGCATCCGCAAACCCCTATAGCTCATATCACTATACTCACTACTACCCACAGATTACGAAGAAGCGCAAAGGGACGTTGCTAGACAACGCTCAGCCCAATACGGCATGGAGAAAGAGTGGCGCAAGCCGTTTGCTCACATAAACACAGCCACCTCGAACGCTCCCTCAGCAACCAGCTCGGCTGCTGTGTCGCGACGGCAGTCATTGGTTGAGAATGGTGTCCCTCGCACGGGCAATGCCAGTGGAGGTAGTTCGGTACTTGGCGGTGTGGATCGGAACAGTCCGCACAGTGGAGGGGCAGAGGAGGGTGACGGAGATGCGGAGATGGGGGATGCGGTATGTGCATGTGGATATGTATGTGTGTATGTATGTATGTATGTGTGTGTGTGTATGTATGTATATATATATATATATATATATATGTGTGTGTGTGTGTGCATATTTGTAGATATGTATGTATAAATAAAAATGCAAGTCTGCTTTCCAATGTACATATCGCCCTGTACGGATTCAGATATGCTGGCTAATGGCCGTATACTGAGCAGAATAATACTATATATATATATACAATATATGTATCACGTACAAAGGATTTTGAATTCTACTCTCTTAATGCCTGGTCAACAAATCTCCTAACACGCATTTGGGGCGTACACAGGACTCAAAAAGGAAAAAAGTGTTAACAACAGCCGCGACCTCGAAGAAGAAGAAGAAGAAGAAGAAAGCAATGGATCTGGATGCCGCATTTTTTGGATAATGCATTTCACTTGGAGCCTCTTGACACACCTGAATGTAAGCTTTATAGACACTATAGTGGCATAGAAGTCCTCTGTAAACTATGCCATTGGTAAAACATTAGATAGTCAGTGCTGTTGTGTCAGTGGGAGACGCGAGAAAGTGCGGTACAAAAACCAAATAGTGCAGATTTGCCACACTGCAACAGCAGCATCATTCAAATATTAGCATGGTAGTGGGTCGGGCGTCGCCATGGTGATGAGCTGATCGAATAAACTACTTTTCAAACCTGGCTCACGTTGTATTGATACATATGTACACCACATGGCATATGTGAATGAGTGAGATGTATGTATGTATGTATGTATGTATGTATGTATGTATGTATGTATGTATGTATGTATGTATGTATGTATGTATGTATGTATGTATGTATGTATGGATATATGTATGTATGTATATATGTAT